AACCCTCGGGCGGGAGCGCCGCCACGCTTCCCAAGCAGCGCACTATCCAGTGCGCCACCGGGCCGGCCCTGATAATGGACATTCTAACCGAGGTGAGGTGGTATCTCATTGTTTTCATTTGCATTTCCCTGATGATTAGTGATGTTGAGCATTTTTTCATGTATCTGTTGGCCATCTGTATGTCTTCATTTGAGAAATGTCTATTAAGATCCTTTTGCCCAATTCTCAGTTGGGTTATTTGTGTTTTTGCCATTGAATTGTTTAAGTTCCATATATATTCTTGATATTAATCCCTTGTCAGAGTATATTTTGCAATTATTTTCTTCCATTCTGTAGGTTCTCTTCACTCTGTTAACAGTTTCCTCTGATGTGCAAAAGCTTTTTAGCTTGATGTCATCCCACTTATCTATTTTTTCTTTAATTGCTTGTGCTTTTGAAGTCTTAATTTAAAAAATCCTTTCCCAGCCCCATATCATGAATCTTTTCCCCTGTGTTTTCTTCTAGTAGTTTTTCATAGTTTCAGATTTTACATTTAAATCTTTAGTCCATTCTGAATTGATTTAATATGTGGTGATAAGTAGGAGTCTAGTCTCATTCTGCATGTAGATATTCAGTTTTCCCAGCACCATTTATTGAAGACTCTGTGTTTTATCCAATATGTATTCTTGGCCCCTTTGTCAAAGATCAGTTGGCTGTGGGTATGTGAATTTATTCCTAGGCTCTCTATTCTGTTCTATTGGTCTATGTACTTGTTTTTATTCCAGTGCCATGCAGTTTTGGTTACTGTAGCTTTGTAGTATAATTTGAACTCAGGTAGTGTGATGCCTCCAGCTTTGTTCATTTTTCTCAGGATTGCTTTGGCTATTCAGGGACTTTTGCAGTTCCATATGAATTTTAAGATTATTTTTTCTATTTCTGTGAAGAATGTCATTGATATTCTGATAGGGATTGCATTAAATCTGTAGATCATTTTGGGTAGCATGGTCATTTTAACAATATTAATTCTTCCAATCCATGAACATGGGATATTTTCATTTATTTGTGTCCTCTTCAATTTCTTTCTTTAAGGTTTTATAGTTTTCAGGTTAGAGATCCTTCACCTCCTTGGTTCCTTGGTTAAGTTTATTCCTAGGTATCATTTTTTTTAATAGTTCTTGTAAAAGGAATTGTTTTCTTGATTTCTTTTTCAGTTTGCTATTACTATATAGAAATGCTACTGACTTTTGTACGTTGATTTTGCATCCTGCAACTTTACTAAATTCTCAAGCCTGTGAGGTTTTCTATTCATAATGCTATTGCTAAGTTATGTCTCATCCATTCTCTACTCCTTAAGTTGGCATTTTTGTTCAACATGCTGGGCCTTAAATTTATTCCTGTTAAATTCAATCTTCTTAGGTTCAGCCTTTCACAAACTCTTGATCTTGATTATGTCATATTGTTATACTATATACATATTGTGTGGATATATATCTATATACAAGGGTACTTCAGAAAGTTCATGGAAAATGGAATTAAAATATAATATAAATCTATCCATGAACTTTTCAACGACCCCCCTCAAACATATATATACATATATTTGACCTCTTGTCAAAGCTTTAGACTCTTACATTTAACTATCTGCTCTACATCTTCACACAGATGTCCTACATACCCAAATTCAACTTCATCTAATTCCACAGTAAATACTCCTCCTGTATTCTCTACAACATTGGTAGCAGTACTATCTACATAACCTCTTAAGCTAGAAACCTGATAGTTATCCTTTTTTTCTCCCTTTCACTTCTATCTCTCATATCCAGTCAGCCACTGAATCCAGCTGATTTTACTTCATGAGCTTTTTCTCCATCTTATCTACCATCATTTTTTTGAGACCCTTATCATCCATTTACCAGGAGTACTATAGGTTTCTAATTGGTTCTCCTGCCACCAATATGAAGGTACTTCAAAAAGTTTATGGAAAAATAGAATTAGAAAGTAATATGAATCTTTCCATGATCTTTTGGAAGACCCCTCATATAATCATCCTAATTCCACCCTTCTTCCTACCATCAAAGTGATTTACCAAAAACACAAAATCGGACTATGGAACACTACTGCCTAAAGACTTTTAGTGATTGGCAGTCATCTAACAGGGGTTGAAGCTGGCACTGCTCTAAGACTGGAGCTTCAGTTGTTTTAGCCTTTACTTTTTAATTATTTTTAATTTTTTAACTTTTAATTTTGAAATAATTTCAAGAATAAAACAAAAAACTCTATCTATCCATCTATGTATCTATATTTTTTCCATGATCCATTTCAGCATAAGTTGTAGGATCACACTCCTCTACCCCTAAAAACCTCCAGCATATATTCTCCAACAAAAAGAACATCTTCTTACATTAAAACCAGGAAAATCAACTTTGATACAATAATATTTTGTATCAAGTTAAATTTTGCCAAATGTCCCAATATTGTCCTTTAGAGCAAAAATTTTCCCTGATTCAGGATCTAATTCAGGATCATGAATTGCATTTAATTGTCATCAGCTCAGCCTTTCTTTGTCATTCACAACACTGGCATTCTTTAAAAGATTCTGGTCAAGTTGTCTTACAGAATGTCTGGTTTTTAAATTTTAATGGACACAAGAATTCACCTGAAAACATCAGCTTCTGATTGAGTAGACCTTTGGGGTCATCCCCTGAATTTGCATTTTTTTTTTCCTTTTTTTTTTTTTTTTTGTCTTTTTTCGTGTCCTGGCAACAGATCGCAACCCTCAGTGTCGCACCCGTACCGGACCGGGACCGGCAACGGGATTGCAACCCTCGGTGTTGCCCCCGCACTTCGCTCAGCCAGTGAGCAGGAACCGGTCTGTATGTGGGATCCGAACCCTCGGCGGGAGCGCCGCCATGCTCCCAAGT